CAGCTGCATCCAGGTCTGCATAGCCCTGGCCTGGCTCACTGCCAGCAGTGGGTGTATGCGCACCTTCAGGCAGATGGTGGGGGTGGGGTTGGGGCTGCGTTGTCACAAGAAGGATTGGGTCAATCACAGCTCCCCTGCTGCTTCCCCACCATACCAGGTACTAGTTCCTCCTCTTCTCTCCCTTCCTCCTTTCTTACCTCCTGCCTGCCCTGCTGTCTTCAGGGGTGCCCTGCTGCTTCCCTTCTCCCCCTTCCCTAGCAGACTACTCCCCATTCCATGCTAAACAGTAACCAGTAAGGTATTACTGGCTATCAATATGTGAACAGTTTAACCATTCACATCCCTAGCCCCTGCCTGCCCAGCCCACTCCTGAACACTGCTACCCACCCACCTGTGGCCCCATCCCATCCACCCAGCCAAACATACCCTGCCTGCAGGGTCCAGAGCCAGTCTTTATGGTATATTGATTCTTTTCCCTAATGATACAGGATGGAGTGTTGGGAAAGTCGAGAAGGGCACTGTATTCAGAATGGAAGATTCATAGATTATTTAATGTATTTTTCTTTAGGAATGCTATGGAGACTGCTGTAAAAAGTGCTCTCTTTCTAATGGAGCTCATTGTAGTGATGGACCTTGCTGTAATACATCCTGCCTTGTGAGTCTTGATGTAGTAAATCTGTTTTTCTCTTCTCTTATTCCTTTAGATCTAATGTTTAATCTGATAAAGTACAAATACTGTGTGTGCATATACTGGGGAGTAAAAATGTTTCTAAAGACCTCAGCATGTTTACTGACCTACAAATAATAATGGTAGTAGATGGGGGAATGAGGTATACACTGGTATAACTTTATTTGTTAATTGTTTTATTTTTGCCATTATTGATGTACAGTGTTATGCTGCAATCTGGAATCAGTTAATTCTGCTACTGTTATTATATATGTAAACATTTGTAAGAATCAGACATTGCGGTTGGTTGATGTGCAGTCTCGGGAGCAGGGGGTGGAGGGCATGTGCAATCTGAGAACAGGGTGGGGGACCATGGGTTCCCAGAACAGGGGTAAGGGGTAACAGCCTCACCCATGCCAGAACTCCTACACAGTCTTGGCTCAGCTGCTGCTACCACTACATGTGCTCTGCCAGCTCTGGCTGTGGCATTTAAAATAGGAGCAGCTAGTTCTCCTCCTAAGTTAACAGTTGGCACGGTTGCCCCTTTTACCCACCCCTAGTTATGGTAGTGCCCCTACCCCATCCTAATGATTGGCATGGAGCTAAGCAATCCGGCCCAGCAGTCATGGTTCACCACCTCCCAGCCTACTCTGTCATTACCTCCAAACTCTTTGCGGAACCCCAGGGTTCTGTGGAACACAGTTCAGAAACCGCTGGTATAGACGGAGCCCTAGGAATCTTGTATGAAGCTCAATGGTACAATATGGTAGATTATTAGTATATTTGTGAAATGTAGTACTACAGATAAAGCTACAGTGAGAAATCTTAAAGGCTGTGGGTTATATCTTTAATGCAGAGAAATCAGTTTTGTTCTTGCTTGAGGTTACCAAAAGCAGTTGTTTACATGAGAACTATCAATGTCGTCAATATCAGGGGAATATAACCCATCTTGTGATCAAGGCTAGATGATACAATTTCTCAGGTGACTAATTTAAAATTAATTTAAAAACACACAATAAGACTAGGTTGAAATATACTATATTTTTAGATAAATATTAAGTACTTTTATCGATTTATGCCACTGTACTTTTTATTTTATCTTTGTTAAATCTTTGTAACCCACAAGTAGGTATGCTGCTAATAAACTTTAGCAGGTTGGTTAGTTGTTTCTTTTGTTTAAAATCTTAGTATTTTCTTCGAAATAGTTCATTTTTTTCGTCACATATGGTTTGTTAATTATAAGTAAATGTTTGTAGCAGAGATGTACAAACATTTGATGCATCACTTATGAGGATTTTTAGATTACTACTTTCAGTTGGAGTAAGAGGAAACAGTAAGTCAAAAAGACGATATTTTGTTCCTAGGTAATTCAGGAATAACTGAATCTCATGTGTGTATATTGTTATGATTTTGCTTGCACAAGTGCTATATAATGCATGTCCCTGAGTTAGCCATAAACCACTTATACATTGTAGGCTTTCCCTTTATTATTATCTGGGCAAGACTTAAAAAATGCGAATACTGTAGTGAGATTTGTTTTAAAATCAAGATGCATTGCTTTGAAACACAAGGAACATTTCTGAACAAGAATCTCAGAATATCAGGAATTGTGCTTTTACATAGTCTCACTCCTAATCAATAGTCTTTGTTTTCTAGTTTTTCCCACGAGGCTATGACTGTCGATATGCAGTGAATGAATGTGATATTGCAGAGTACTGTACTGGAGATTCTGGACAGGTATGTATATGTAAGCTCTTCTGCATACACTGTTATATATATACACTTCCTTTTTTATTCAAGTCTTAAAAAATTTAGATTCGCAAGATGATGGTACATATGTTTAAAATGACCAGTTCACCTTTTAATCTTTTTGGCTGCTTGCAGATGTTAAAAAAATAAACAAAACAAAATGGCACTTTATTTTAAACTCTAGGGCTGGGGGCAGACATTACACATAACACGGTTTAAGTGATCCGAAACTGGTTTAAACCTGTAACAGAACAGATGTTTAGTGCACATAAACCAGCTGAAATGAGTTTGAGATATACCTAGTTAAATGTAGTATCAGACTTAACTGACTGGGCTTAAACCAGTTCATGCAATTATCTGTCCCAGACCCCTTGCTGGTTTAAGATAAACCAGACTCCCTCAGCATCCCGGCATGTTCTCTGGGCTGGGCAGGGCTCTCTGCTGCACAGCAGGGCTGCCCCTGCCCCTCTGCTCTCTAGCCTGAGCAGGGGTGAGCTGTGGCCAGACTTAGCCTGCTATGACCTCCGAGGTGAAGGGGCAGAAAGGGAGGTTAATTCCTTCCTCCATCCCCTTGGACCGCAGCTGAGGTTCGCTAGCCCAGCTGCACCTCTGTGGCTTGCCTGCAGCCAGGCAGTAAGGGGATTAATTCCATTTTACTGGGTCTGGGAGAAGGGGGCGAGGGACACTGGCAAGGGCTGCTCTGCCCTGCCCAGCAGACCCTGGTTGCAGTCCCTGCTGTTGAGACAGGAAGGGCAGGGGATAATAAACCCCCTCACTCCTTGCACTCCCGGGGCAACCTGTCCCAAAGGTGGATTAACCACACAAAAAAAAGAACTTTTTTGCAAAAATCTAGTTGGTCTAATAAAAGATATCACCTCTACCACAAGCCCTGATTCCTTTTGGCTGTAAGGAGACACTCTGCCCTTGGGATTACATAGGATTTATGCAAAGCTTTCTCTTGTCTTCCTGGTTTACATTTTAAGTCAGACTAAGTTGTGTATGCCTTGTTTTTCTGGACTGTATTTTAGCTTAGGCAAAGATTTTTGGTAGTTCCCTGATGTGTGCTTGAGGCTGCAAATTGCTGTGTTCAATACATGCTTGCTTCAGAGACAGGACTTTTTCCCCATCCCCAATCCTCTGCCCTGCTAGCCCCCTCCCTCTGCTCCAGCAGGGAGGGGTGGGAGCTTTGCAGGGTGTCTCTCTTTTCTTCCCTTTGGCAGTGGCTGGCAGTCATGCTTTAGCACCCCCCGGCTTCTGGCTTGAGCCACTGCAGGCACGTGTCAAATGTCTATCCCATTGCAAACCAGTTCACTTTCTGCAGGTTAGACTAACCTGCAAAGATTGAATCAATTCAGGCTTTTTTAATGTTTGTCCCTAAACCTTGTACTCCCATGCTGTGCCCAGCACATGCCCAAAAGAGGCAGCACGTTAGTTGGACACAGTTCACCTGCCTAAGCTGTATAAATCAGGCATTTTAGTGGGGCTTTTTTGGCACTTTTATCTAATAGCTCAGCTTTAGATAAAAGTGCCAAAAAGCCCGGCTGAAGCACCCAATCTATACAGACATTGCAGAGCCGGGTCAAAATAATGTGCTGCTGCTTCTGGTAAAGCACGGTTTATTATTTTTTTTAACATCTACAAGCAGCCTTTTCAAACAAAAGATCAAATCTTTTGTTTGAAAACTGCTTTGGGCCAAATGGACTATCAGTATTTAGCTACAATGTGGCTTATCAATTTGTTGGATTTTTAAATCCATGTAATTATTTTTATATATATATATATATATATATTTAGTTACATATAATATTGCACTGTATAAAGTATATTCTATTCTAATGGTATCAAGCACAATAACTAAAATATTTGCACGCGTTAAATTGTTTTGACTACAACAGTAGATAATGTAGACTTTCACAATTGCAACTAATATTGGAGTGTAACATGCTGTTCTGAAAGAATACATATCTATCCCAGGCCTCAGCTCCTTCTGCAGGGCCCGCAACAGTGCATGGTTTGGCCAACCTCCCCACCTGGGGGGTGGGGGTATCCTTACCTGTCTGCCGGCCAGAAATTCTAACCGTGGTCGGCCGTGACTGCTGGGCTGCGATTTGCTGGGCCACGGCCACTTCCATGCTGCGATTTGCTGGGCCGCAGCATAAAAACTTTGGGAACCCCTCCCTTATACATTTTGGGTAGAATTCTTTGTGAACCTAAATGGCTGTTGTCTAGCTGCATAAGTGGTCTATTTTGGTAGTTATGCATAGTTTGTGTTTCTTTTGCCCTGTATTACCCATGCAGAATGGATGTGTAAGTGTACATGCACATACTGACCATGCTCAGTAAGCTACACAACAGCCAGGCAGCTACATACACATGCCCAGTATATGCATGAAATTGTAGCTGGACAAAAACCCCATGTCTTATTTGGTGTAAGATGCCAGAAGAGGTAAAGGAAGGCCATCTTATATTTTAACCTCAATAAATGAGTAAGGTAGACACCTGCCTGGGAAGTGGGAGACCTGGCTTGTAGCCCCATTCACTCAGAGGGAGTTTGAACCTACATCTCTGGTATCTAAACACAGTATTCCCACCACCATGGCACACAGTAACCATAGTTTCTTCAAACACCATTTGCCTGGGCAACCAAAAAAGGAAGATAGATGGGGCCAGGAGCAAAAGCACAACCTACAGGGTGTATAGGCCAGTGAGATCAATATTGCTCTGGAAAGAAGCAGTTCTAGCCTGGACCTTTGCTTTCAATATGGCAGAAACTTCTCTCCTGCTTTCCACCCATTCATTTATCCAATGAATACTAGCTACAAAACGTAGGGTCTCACCCAAGTGGTAAACTCTGTTATGGAGGTGAAAAAGAAAACTCAGAAAACCATGGAAAATGTGAAAGACACAAACCCAAACAAAATAATGTAAAGCTGTTAAAAAGGTTATTAGCAATAAAGTACTTATGCCAGGATGCATCTGTAGGATATGCATATATTAACAGATAACAAGCAATTATTTAGAAAAAGAAAAGTAAAGAAAACAATTATAATAGAAAATAAGGACAATAAAAGAATAGTAAAAAAATAAAGCTTGCATAGGTTCTGTGCTAAAAGATTTGTTTAAGAAAATTGCTTATTAAAAGAATGGCAGAGGGTCAGACACTAGCCTCACTCAAACCCTATTGGAATTCTTTGGTATCTAAGTATGGGTACATCTTAGCCAGAGTATCAAAGAAAAGTTATGCAAAGGTACATAAAGCTGTAGAGTATGTATTCATTAGACATGCTTTGGTGCCTAGCTATTTCATATTTTGACCTATCTCCTTAATTCCATTAGTAGTATGCAATAAGATTAAAATTAAACATGGTACTTCAGTGCTTACCAGGCAATTAAATCTATTAGCTATGCATACCGACATAATCAGCATGCTCTTTGTATTTTTGCTGTGGGCCATTTAAACTGTACATGATTCAAAGGGATTCTCCAACATTTTGGTTATAGCACTACTTCAGTGGAAACTAGAGAAAATCATTTCATTAGTGAAATTTTTAATCTTTGGAGGAAGCATTACAGAGGCTATTTAATAAATGGACATAATTTCACTGCCTGAACTAATTAGCCCTGCTTGACAGGAAGGCTATGTTAGCCCCAGTGGAGTAGTGACTGGACAAGGATATACTGCTTCTACTACCAATCTACAGCAATGACTTGTGCCATGTACATATGCCCTTAGTTGCTCTTAGTCTTATACTAGTAAGAGCAGGAGCAGGTTCAGCAACCACTTAAAACCAGTTGAAGTAGCAGGGGTCTGTATTTACATGCTCTTCAAATGGATGATCGAACTTTGAACAACAACCTTGTCTTTGCATACGAGAACATTAAAGGATTAACATAATGTTCTTTGGCACTTCCCATGCATCTCCAGCAAAGAAGTCAAACAAAGAAGGATTGAAATTGAATTTAAATAATTTTAGATCCATTTCTGATATCTATGCTCACTTTGCATATTTTTCATGGAATTGCTTGCAGAAGAACTCCATCTTTATCTTCCTTTCACCTTCACTTACACTCACCTAATATTTGCCTTTAATTCCATCAGCCTTACTGTTCTTGAAATCCTGCCTTTGTGGAGTTCTTTCCATGCCACTTGAACCCCTGCTTTACACAGTTGTTTAGTGAGATTTCCTTCTCTTTTCAGGGTTCCATCTTTGACTCATACTTCTGACCTATTTTGGAGTGAATTTATCTGTAGACATGGTTTTGGCTAGTTTGATGATGACTCATAAATCTGTTCTCTCTAGATCTCTCCCCCTACATCTAGGCTAAAATCGTGGTCTGCTCCTGGAAGCAGGAGGATAGGTCAGATGCTTTTGCCTTTTTTCATTTAATAGTCTTTGGAATGGAATGGAAAGACAGCAGGGGCCTAGCTTCTGCCCGTTGGGTCCAATTCCCACTTTCCTCTTCCTTTTACTTCATGTTGCCTCTGGCTTGCTCTCCTGGCCTCCAGCTGTCACCTGGGCTAGATTTTGGGTCTCCCACTTCCTGGGCAAGTAGTAACCCACTAGGCTATTTGGCTAAGAGGTGTGAGGGCTCTCTACTTCTCCTTTATTTTTGGTAGCTTAATGGAATTACCTGTCTTCCAGGGACTAAGATCTGCATATGTCCCAAAGGTCATTTATGAAGCTAACTGTAACAACATAAAAGCTACTTGCCTGTCCGAAAGGGGAGTTAGACTTGGGCTTTTCTGTTGACTTCCTCATGTCACTCAGTTGCAATAACTAATAGACAGATGGAGAACAATACACAAAATGCATGATAGTGTAATGCACAGCCATTTTCAGAACTGTGCCCATGTCTTATGGGTATCTTGGCATACAGAAGGAGGGGGATATGCAAATCAAAGCTAGCCTTTATGCAGCAATATAAATCACTGCTAACTGGTATTTCTGAATGCCTGGGTCCAGTGAGGCCTGGTAGCACTGTGAAAATAGCATGCTTATTATTTTTTTAGAAAAAAAGAATCACCATTCATATGAACTTCTGTTTGAAGGTTTATTTGGTTGTGTTAATGATATGCACCTGACAAAAATATATGTAGCAGTCCAAATTGTGTTTATATTCTGTTGCTGTAGAAGTGTATGATACATTGATTAAGCTTATATCCTTCTAAATTACCTGTCCCTGGTGCAACAATTTCTCTTGCTGGGTATAATTCTGAGAAATGATTCTTTATGTGATCTATGTATTGGTGACATCACCCAGCAGGTGGTATGGCATCTTCTATGACCGAATCTATTACTTGCATAAAGTGGTTCATGTATTGACTGCTTATGGTCAAATTCACGAATGTGCCTGTAGAGAATCCTGTGCAGGTTCTGAGGGTAGAGCTTGTGTCTGCTTGAGTCTGGGGCCCACAGAAGTCAGGTCTCAGATCTGATTAGAACACGGTACCCCAGGGCATCCTTGAAAGGATCTCAGGGCTGCCCTAACGTGTACCCAGCTGCTCAAAGGCCCAGCAGATCTTGTAACAACTAAAGATCTTTTAACAACAACCTCTTTGTACAACATGGTTTCTTAAAATGCTTTACAACACATGCTTAATGTGGATGTGTTACATTGCACAATACTTGACAGGATTTAACAAGGAAATATTTTGGAAAAGAAATGATAGAATAACCCCTTATATATCTCTTTCCATATCCTGCTAGCCTTTCTATTCCAAATGTCCTTTTCCTTCAGGGTCTTACTTCCCATCCCCCTCCTTTTTTTCATTAGCAAGTTTGGAATTTCTTCACTTGCTCTTGATGGTCTCTCTGTTCCACAATAATTATCTTCATTCAGTATTTATTCTAAGATTTCCACTTGTCTTTGTGGTGCCCTCTTAACTTCTATTCTGTTCCTTCTTGGTTTTGAATCTGCCACTTTAGCATAATCTTTTTTTTACTCCTTCCTCCCTGTTCCTTCTATTACTTGTTAGTAACCAAGCATTGGGTAAAATTTTGTCAGGAATTGGTAAATTTGCAGAAAAATACAGTTGCTAAAGGACTGAAACTATTTCTGAAATGGTTTCCTTTTGGTCAATAAGATGTTTTTGGGTCAAATCAAATCCTTATTTTGGGCACTGAACTGAAAATTCATTATTTACAGTTTATTGTAAACTGATATCTAAAATTAGATTATAAGCTATTTGGGCTGTGTCATATTGTTTCCCTGTTGAGTATCCAATGCATTTTTGGTGCTGTATACCTGTAATAATATTTCCACTTTTTATATTGCTTGGAAATATATATACTGCAGTCGTATACCTTCTTGAGTTATTTTCTAAAAAAATAGAAACCTCACATTCCTAACCTATTGTAAAGTTATTTTTAACCCATGAGGCTCTTTGTTGTCGTCTTGCTTTCTTTTGCCCAGTTCTTTATGCCAAGTGTTGATTTAAAAAAACAACAACCCTGCAACACATTGTTTGCTTTTCTAGAATCCAAAATTCTGAAATAATGAAGAATTTTTATCTTCTTATGTCCAGTGCCCTCCAAACCTTCATAAGCAAGATGGATCAACTTGTGATTCTAATCAGGTATGTAACATTTTTAAATCTTTGCAAATCAAGTAGTAATAATACATCCAATGTAAATTCTCATTTCTTCCCTGCTTCATTCATATGTCTTCACAAACGCTGGGTCTGTCTTTATTAATTTTATGGGCTGACTTAGTACTTTTCCTATCAATCTAGTGGTAGTGAGGGATAGCACACCTGTTCATAATAGTTACTAAAGTCTTTGGCTCAGTTTCTCAGCAGTACCCAATCTGAACTGGGCACAGGCAAAGAGGAGCTTTATGGAGGTCATCAATCCAAGGTCTTTTGGGAGGTTCAGAACATCCTTAGAGTTGCTCTAAACCAGCAGTTCTCAAACTTGTTAGACTTGAGGCACCCCTCAGAAAATGCTAGCTCTTAGTTTTCACTTGTATTTTCACTACAGAAAAATAATAGAACAGTTTTTCTGTTGCAAAGATCTCAGAAAGACTACAAGTCAGGATGTTTTAGATATTATGTATTCCTAGATGAAATCTTTGGATGTGTCCAGACGAGCATGGACGTGCAGTATGTGGTGCTGCAGACCCATCTGCGACGCCACACACCGCACATGAAGGTGTTCTCTGTGCTGTTACTTTGCAGCTCAGGGGCTTTTTTTGATGCTGGGAAATCCTGGGGTCAAAAAAAACCCATACCAAAAAAACCCAGGGTGGCATATATGGCAGCAGTACATGCCGCTCAAAACCAGAGCATGGCTGGCCAGAGCCACACACCAGCTGCCAGCCAGGCTCCCTGCTACAGGAGTGCTGTGGTGGAGCTCCCAGAATCCCCCAGGACCCCAGGTAAGGTTGCTGGGGCCAACACAGTTGCTGGTCTCAGCCTTCCCTACCCCCTTCCCTTCCCCCCCTTCCCCTCCCTGGTAGGACAAGTGTGGCATGGGCATTCCCCAGGGACACTACTACTTGTCCCTGGAAAAACGCACATTCCTGCTCATGGGGACACGGTCTTTGGGTTTATCTTGTGAATCGTGTTTGCTAACATTGTATGGCATCCCAGGGCATCCTTGAAAGGATCTCAGGTCACCCTAGGACTGGTTCTGTGGCACCCTGGATGAGAACCACTGCTCTAAACTCTATTAAGCATTTAAAAGCTTAAGGAGAGAGTATGGCAACCATGTATCAACTGAGTACTTTGGACATTTAAGTACTTGCTGCCATTGACTTCAATAGGAATTACATACCTAATTTATTGGCAAATGTGTGAGGATATATGTTAAAGTGCCCTTTACCCTAAAAACACACCTAAACATTTTAAGAGGAGAGTATATCCCAAATACATTGAATAAAATATTCAAATTGAAATATTTGATTTTTTCCCTCCATTTATTAATACATTGTATTTTGTTTAGGGACGTTGCTATAATGGAGAATGCAAGACAAGAGATAATCAGTGCAAATATATCTGGGGATCTAGTAAGTTGGGAATGCCTACTTTTTTCTGTATATTCTTTGTGTACAGTCTTTCTTTAGTTTGCATACTCAGTCCACTGCTCTACTTTTTCACTTGGTACTTGGAGCTACAGAGGTAAGGTGACTATTACCTGCTGTATTTGCAGCTTTAGGTAAGGTGAGTAGCAAACGCAGCAATATACTCATCACAGACTTATAACTAAACTATGCAAACACATCAGCTGTGTCTTTGGATAAACACATGTCTTTGGATAAGTATATTGTTTTATTCAGAGGCTGTCTTCATTTGATTAAAACTACCATTTTGGGGTTTTTTTGAAGAGCTGTTGACTCCATCTTCTTTAAGATTACAGCATAATTGTTCTATACTGGAGCCACACCTGCTATGATTTGGTCATCTTGTATCCAGAGCCTACACATCACTTTTTCATTTACTAAATGGAATTGGAATACACAGGACGTTAATTAACCTTGAATACAGTTGATGTAAAGGAAGTTACAGCAATAATGGATTTTATCCAAAGAGTTTACAGGAAAAATTTCACTAGATAATGATTTGGGGATAATAGAGTAGAACTGAATTGCCAGTAGATCCCAGCCTCCAGCACTTACCCTTTTCATATCATCATAGTAATGATTTACTCTAGGTTCCAAACCCAAAGCTGTTGTGGTGTACACATATGTTTCTGTAACAGAGGGGAAGGTTCCTCCCTATTATATTCTTTGGAAAGTTCTCTTTCTTGTCTGTTATAAACCATACAGAAAATTCTGCATGTAGTACAGAGAGGGATAGAAAGACCATGTTTTTAGCTGACTTCTAGCATCTTTCTTTTGGCTTAGTGGCAGTGCATTACTGGCTCATTCTAATATACTATTTTTTTTCTAAAAAAAGCTAATGGGTTGGTTAATGAGCAATTCTGTTTTGACTCTGCCAGTGTTGGAAGGTGTACCTAAAACTTCTAAAAGTAGTAACACAAATCAAATTCCAGGAAAATCCCTTTAGGCTTCACCTTTGCTTTTCTCTATCCCTGCTTGCTCTGAGCACCTAGAGTCGCTCTCATGCTCTCGCTTTATTGGTTTTAAATTTCACATCAGCTTTTCATTTGTGTAGTTACAAGAAGAATCAGCTCCATGGGATATGTGTTATATAGGAAACCTCTGGTGCTACAGCTGTATGTCTGTTTCACACTGCCATACAATGCATATGTACACAAACTAGTTCTGAGAAAGCCATCTTGAGTACCAGAAGTAGCATGCTCAGGATAGATATATTAGCAGGGTGAGTAGTCTTCATGGAGCTGGAAATAGCTGTAGTTCAACTGCCTCTGGCGTTCAAGCCAGCTTGTTTTAAGTAAGGTTGAGTGTCTTGCCTACATGTAGTATAGACATACCCGGAGAGAAGTGGTGATTCTTTTCCCACATCAGTATGAAGCTGGAATAACTTCATTGAAATCATGTTATACTTTTCAGCAGAATTCAACTCAAAGAATATTTAAATGGAGACAATATTACAGCTTAGGTTGAGACAGTTTAGATGTATTGCTGATGGGAAGCCTCCAGATTGATGTTTTAAATGAAGTATTGAAATTCACAGTATGTAGAATATGTTTTGCTCTTGTAATTGCATGGTGTAGAATCATAGAAAATTAGGGTTGGAAGGGACCTCAGGAGGTCATCTAGTCCAACCTGCTGCTCAAAACAGGACCATCCCCAACTACATCATCCCAGCCAAAGCTTTGTCTAGCTAGGTCTTAAAAACCGCTGAGGACGGAGATTCCACCACCTCTCTGGGTAACCTGTTCCAGTGTTTTACTATCCTCCTAGTGAGATAATTCTTCCTAATATCTAACTTAAACTCCCCTTGCTGCAACTTGAGACCATTGCGTCTTGTTCTGTCATCTGCCACTATTGAGAACAGTCTGGCTCCATCCCCTTTTGAACCCCCCCCCCCCCCAGGTAAGTTGAAGGCTACTGTTAAATCCCCACTCAGTCTTCTCATCCCTGACTGAATAAGCCCAGTTCCCTCAGCCTCTTCTCATAAGTCATGTGCCCCAGTCCCCTAACCATTTTTGCTGCCCTCTGGTGGACTTTCTCCAATTTGTCCACACCCTTTCTGTAGTGGGGGCACAGTGCTGCTTAGGGCTCTTTGGAGCTAATCAACAGGTAGCTGGTAATGTCCCTCCATTCCTTCTTTTGTTTTCTTCTAATGAGAGATCCTTTTGTTTTGCTGATTTGGTGATATATGCTCCCTGCTGTGTAACCAAATCCCTGCTGGCTCCCTTACTGACCAGCAAGGGGGGAAGGGGGGGACACCTCCCTAATCAGAGTGTCCTGCCAGAGTCTGGACACACCCTCCCTCAGTTTAGTACTGTGGAAGGGATTGAAAAGCTGCTCTAGCCTGAGATACTGCAGGCATGTGCTAGCATTTTTTCAGTCCAGAGCAGATATCTGTACAGTTACAAACTGATTCAGCCTAGGCAGGTTAGACTAACCTGCAGAGATTAAATCAATTCAGGCTCAGGCTTTTTGAATGTCTGTCCGAAGCCCATGAGATTCTTTTTGGCCGAATCCTCCAATTTGTCTAGGTTACTTCAAATCCTAGCCCTACCCTCCGGTATACCTACTACTTCCCACAGCTTGGTGTCATCTGCAAACTTGCTGAGGGTCTAGTTTAAGCCCAGGTCGTTGATGAAGACGTTGAACAAAGCCAGCCCTAGGACTGACCCTGGGGCACTCCACTTGATATCGGCTGCCAACTAGACATCAAGGCATTGGTTACTACTCTCTGATCCTGATGCTACAGCCAGTTTTCTGTCCATCTTACAGTCCATTCATCCAGCCCCTACTTCCTTAGCTTGCCTGTGAGAATGATGTGAGAGACCATATCAAAAGCTTTGCTAAAATCAAGGTACACCACATCCACCAGTCTCCACATCTACAGAGCTAGTCACCTCGTCATAGAAGGCAATCAGATTGGTCAGACATGACTTGCCCCTGGTGACTCCATGCTGACTGTTCCTAATCACCTTTTTCTCCTCCAAGTGCTTAGAAATAGATTCCTTCAGGATCTTCTCCAGGATTTATCCAGGGACTGAGGTGAGGCTGACTGGTCTGTAGTTCCCTGGATCCTCCTTTTTCCCCTTTCTTAAATATGTGTATTGCCCTCTTTTCTTCTGTCTCTTCTCACCTTCCAGTCAATCCGTCATTATGTAAACATAAAATTTGCATAAATTAAAACATAGTGAAATTTCAAAGTATTGTAATACTGTTCTCTTGAGGCAGGTTTTTACACATTTTATGCTAATTTTCATAAAGGACTGTCTTTGCACGTCTAGCACTGTCAGTGGAAAATACATTATCTTTTCATTTCTGCATCAACAGAATCTTCAGGATCTGACAAATTCTGTTATGAGAAGCTTAATACAGAAGGTACAGAAAAAGGAAACTGTGGCAAGGATGGAAACCGATGGGTTCAGTGCAGCAAACAGTAAGTTCAGCTTCATACGTACTGTTTGAATTCTATGGCTGAGTATAAGTAGCCCAATATTTCCCCCCATTTTACTGAGCATTTCCATTGTCCGTTTTCCATGGTTTTGAATCTTGATTTTTTTCTTTTTCTCTCAAGTTTCAAGAACAAAAATATTTCACTTATCAGTTTGCAAAATTCATATGTGGCTACTTTTCTACTTTGACTAAAACTTTTAAAATATCAGAATAACAAAAACTGAATACATTCTTTTAATGTGTTAGAGTACTTAGATAAAGAATAGCAATTCTTCCAAAATTTATATTAAAAAGTTGTATAACGGTTTGCGTTTAACAAATAAAGAGAAGCAGAAATGTGGTCAAACTGAATAGCTCTTTGAAATCTGTGCAAATGTTCACAAATACTATCTGCAATGATCATCTATTTGTGACTTCATGGAAATTTTGGGTAGACAAGAGAGGTCCATTTTAGGCTGATAGACAATTGTTTATTACTCATATAAAGTAGTAGCAGGTAACCTGTCTAAGATTGCTATAATATGCCATGAGCATTATTGATTCTTATCAATTATGATTCTAGTATGACTAGAAGGAGAATAAATTTAAAAACCTATACTAACTGCATCAATAACGTAGATCATCCAAAGTACCCCAGAAAAGGACAATATAATGTAGCATAGCAAAAGTGGTACAGGTTTCCCTCGCTTTATTTGGGTTCTGTCTGTGTGAATTTGCTCTTATGTAATGAGCCTTTTTATACCAAAAATTCATTATATACGAGGTAAATTCACCCTTTTGCGAATAGTGTGGTGGAAGCCTGCAGTCAGCTGCTTGATGTCGTGCATTGTGGGAGTGACAGACGCCAAAATACAGTCTCCTGTGTGGATCTGTGCTCCTCGCTCGTTGTCTGTGACATGTTTCTGTAGTTGCCATCCCCATTATGATAGTGCCATGTGCTTTTGTGTACTGTCTGCTGTTGGTGAGTACCAAAATCGTCTTGTAAAAGTGGTAGAAATGGGTCTGGGGGTCAATACAGTCGAGGTCTTAGAACATATCCCTATTTGTTACATTGTAAAGTGAACTCCCTTTATTCGAATTAGATTTATGCGCCACTTTCCCAGAACACATGTACAGCATAAAGTGAGGGAAACCCGTGGTTTGTCCATGTATACATATCAATTAAATATATATTAAATATATCAATTATATATTATTATATATTTTATATTATTATATCAATTAAATATTATATATATATATGCTTCTTTTAATTGATATATGCTGTTTTACTCAAATTATATATTTTCTATTTATAATACTTATTACAGTATTTATAATATTTATATAGTTTATAAATACCCCTTTAATTAAATGTGATTTGTTTTCTACACAACACTGGGAAAATATTCCTTTATATTTGAATTAAGCAATTGATGAACTCATTGTTTCTGCACTTATCATTAGGGCCAGATTCTGTCACACTTACTCAAATCAAGTAATACCATACTTACTGAGTAGTACCACTGAAGCTGATAATGCCAGTTACTATGCCTAGGGACAGACATTCAAAAAGCCTGAGCCTGAATTGATTAAATCTTTGCAGAATAGTCTAACCTGTAAAGCTTGAACTGATTTGGAGGTGGGTAGACATTCCCTTTTGATTCTTGAAATGTAGGCGCGTGCCTGCAGTGGCTTAGGCTAGAAGCCAAGGGTCACTAAGCTACCTGTTGATTAGCTCCAAAAAGTCTGTTTGCCTTTGTTGTCTCCCACAGCATGCATTGTAGCCAGCATATAGTCTGCTAGTTAATGCTGAGGTGTCTGCATAAGGCAGAGGGGCGAGGGGAGTAATCCCTGCTCAGCAGGGAGAAGCCAGACAGACACTTTGTGCCTGCAAGTCTCTGCCAGAGCTGCAGCCAGGGAGCAGAGGGGAGGGACCTGTCCTGCTGTGGAACAAAGAGCCTTGCCCAGCCCAGAGAGCATGCCAGGATGCTGGGGGAGTCTGCTTTATCTTGGACTAGCAAGGGGTCTGGGACAGACATTGCATAAACTGGTTTGACCGAAATCAGTTAAGCCTGATACTACATTCAACCAGGTATATCTCAAACTGGTTTCAGCCATTTTCAAACTGGTTTATGTGTGCTACACATCTGTTCTGCTACAGGTTTAAACCAGTTTCTGATCACTTAAACCAGTTTGTGTAATGTCTGTCACTAGCCCCAGGGTGTCTTTACACATGCTCCAGGGTGGGGGCGCGTTTTAATTGGAATGGCTCTTAGGAGATGCTCCAATTAAAACACCCACAACATCTTGTGTATTCAGTGTCCTGCACTTCAAAATGGTGGCGGGACACTTTAACTAAAGCTCTTTCAAGACACTTTAAAGCCCCTGCCTTTTTTAAACATGGGGGCACTGAATACATGTGATGTCAAGGCTGCTGGAGTATTCTAATTAGAATGCTCAATTAATCGAGTCTGCTTTGTTGCATTCTAATTAGAACACATGTCATGGTGCAGGGCCCCAGGGATGGCTGTGATACCCCTAGGACTTCATGACCATGCTAGTTCTACTGTATGGACACTTTCTAATCTCACTTGCCATGTCTTGTTGGTAAAAATCTTAAGCAGGGAGGCTGTCCACGAGTTTGTGTGGCCACGGTCCGGCTGAACCCCACTAAAGCCTGTGGGTTCTTAAACCCCTTGCCAGATCTTGCTCCAAGTCAGTGCCTCACGGGACTCATGCCTCAAGGGCTAGATGCCTGGCTCCAAAAACTCCCCTTTACCACACCCCATGACTCATGGATGGTATATGAATATTGTTCCCTCTACTGGGATCTCAGCCTACTTGACCTCAGCCCTTGTTATGTAGCTAGGCCTTCTAGTCATTTTGTTAGGCCTGGCTTTGAGGCACTAGCTTTAATCAATCTCCTCCCATCACTGGGCCCTTGCCCCTTGTCTGCTGCACCCCCCCTGGCACTGGGCTCTCTGGCCCCTGTAGCTGTGCCTCCCTGGCACTGGGCTCTCCACAGTCATGTGCCCCCTTCTGGGCACTAATGAGGCTGCCAAACCTCCCCTTTAAGCCTCATCCCAAACCTCTGATGCAAATGACAACATAAATAAGCCCCTGGACTATAACATAGATGGAGGCCACACTCTGCCCCTTTAAGAGGGCAAACTTCTCCCTTAGTATTGAGTGCCTCCTAGCCCTGGGTACCTTATGAGCTCCTGGGGCCCATTTAGTCTTGCAGGCATCAGATCTGGTAACCAAACATCGCTGGATAGATCTTTCTTGCAGGAGCTCCTTCCCTTGGCAGCTGGCTAAGAACTAACTCTTGTCAGCCTCAGCCCTGGAACTTATATGTGCCCAGGGTCTTGTCACCTACTTAACATGACTGCCAGCTGCAAAAGCTGGTTCTAAGGTACTTCTGAAGTAATATTGTTGGCTTCATGTCTTTATTACTTTTACCATAGCATTCTTTCTATTTGCAAATATTCTTGTATACATTAGTTTTTATTTGGAAAATTTGATTTTATTTTTTTGTTTGCTTTTATTTTGCAGTGACGTGTTCTGTGGCTTTCTGCTTTGCACTAATCTTACTCAAGTTCCACGAATTGGTCAGCTTCAGGGAGAAATTACTCCAACTTCTTTCTACCACCAGGGACGAATAGTGGACTGCAGGTAAAAATAAAATTGACTGGTATTCTGTGTTCTCAAAATTTTAATGTACTTTTATACCAAGGCTTTTATATCAGTTATTTAAAATTAAAAAAGAAAAAAATGTTAAACAGTTAATGTCAGTTCATACAAAGCAAAATCATTATTCTGGATGGCATTGCTGTTTTTATTAAGAATCATGTAATTTTCTGCATTTAGGTGTTGTAATTTTGTGTTTTGGTTTGCAGAATACTGTCCAGAAACTGTTATCTAACACTGCTGTATTACTCAGCCACACCTTAATGTCTGGCATCACAGTGTTTGTCCATGGAAAAATTAAGAGTTGTATGCTAAAAGAAGAAAAGATCTACATGTGAAACTTCATGCTTTTGAATGTTACCATTTCAATGAAAGTTATTGCTGTTCATTTTACGTGTATGATTGGGGTAGGATTGGGTAGTTACAATTTAAGTGGTTACAGAACAGATAAGGACTTTATTGTGCTTTCACATAAATGTTGGGTATATTCTTTTAAAATACAATGATAAATAATACTGTAATTGCATTAAAAACACAAAGTAAAAAATAAGTCTTTCATAAATATAGCCATTATTCTCTCCGGTTTCTTGTTTATTAGTCCCATTATTTAAACTGAATTTTTACTCCCTCCCGCTATTTGAGGTAACTGTTTAAACACAAAGCATTTCTCAAATATGCATAATATATGTGTATATGTGTAACATCTTTTACTATACCATTTTTTCATTTTAAAAAATTATGTTCTACCAATTATAGATATACAAAATCTAGACAGAAACTTTAAAACTTCAGTTATTTGTATGGCAGTATTTGGAATCCATTTCCATCTTAGAGCCACTTCATTTCAAAATAGTATTAGAGTTGTGGGATACCTGGAAAGATTTTGATATAATTTATGACTATCAGGTTTTTTCCCCAATGAACTTTGCTTTGGAGGAGTAGAGCTATGAGGGTTTTAGGATCTATGCTGTGTTGCCTTTAATGTTTTCAAAAGCTTCTAAACATAATATTAAATAGTATTTTAAAACTTTTTTCCCTAGGGGTGGTCATGTGCTTTTAGATGATGATACAGATTTAGGATATGTGGAGGATGGAGCTCCATGTGGCCCTCACATGATGTGTTTAGACAGGAAGTGCCTACCAATTCAGTTCTTGAACATAAGCAGCTGTCCAATGGGTTCTAATGGAAAGGTCTGTTCAGGTCATGGGGTAAGTCTGTTTCAAGCTAAACTTCTTTCAATACCCATTATAGCTAGGGCCCAGTGTACATGTGGATTGCTGCACCTGAACTATTCAGCAGACCTCCTGTTTTGCCAAACACAAGTGTTGCATTTTGGCCAACTAGAGGTCTGTGAGAGCATGAGAGGCCTAGAAAAATGTCATAATATGATAATGATTATTATAATGATAATGACTGGGGTTTTTGTTTTGGAGGCAGCAGAAATAGGGAATAGAAACAAACATTCAGGTATGCTCCAAAAAGGCTACTGGAGGCAAAGTAAGTTCAGATTCTAGCATCACATCTAATCTGAAGCATATTGATATCACAGACCAACATCCTTCCAGGGGACATCATTATCTGACTGACAAAGTCTTGACTGCTTGAGAAGCCCCTTTTTATGCCTGAGACCTGTTTGACTGATCCCTTATGAAAACATAGCTTTGATTTTTTTTTTAAATAAGAGTTGTTTTTGTGCAGCAACACCAGTAGTGGTCAAGCTTTTGGCCTCATGGGCCAGGTGAGTAGCACAAAGCCCATCTGTGGGTAGGATCAGGCCATGAGGCCTGGCACCTCCCCCTCCATGTCCCAAAAAAATGAGATTAGGTCCTAGGGGCCCAGCACTCTTCCTCCTGCCCCCCACTTACTGGGATTGGGTCCTGGGTGGGCAGCACTGCCCCACCTTGCCCACATGCACTAGGATTGGGTTCTGGGAGCTGGCACCCTCCACCCCTTGTGCCAGGTTTGGGTCTTGGGAGCCTAGTGCCCCTCTCGCACCAGGATTGGGTTCTGGGGGCCTGGTATCACCCCTATTTGTTTCTGCATGCTAGGATTGGGCACCAGACCCAGTGTGCAAGGCTTGGGGCTCCCCATGGGTCTGCAGATTTGGTAGCAGGGGAGCAGTGCCACCATTCTCCCATTGTTAAATTTCTGGACCTGTGGGGAGCCCTGTGGGCTGGCTGGCATGGATCTGTGGGATGGATCTGGTCCATGGGTCAGAGGTCAAGTGCCCCTGAGCTACACTGATGGCTGGCTGTCAATGGCTGTACCCAGGGCAACTTGCAGAGTTGGTAACTAAAACTGGTACCTTCATAATGTGCTCTTTTGGGCATTCTGTCAATTTGGCTGAATTCAGGAACTAAATTCTAAACCATGGGTCATGAGCCACTTGAACAGAGCTCATTTATTTCCTACAGATTCCTTTTGTGTGCTGGCTATTTATTCTTAATATAAAGCTCTATATCTCTGTTCAGGTATATCAGCTTTAATGTAATAGCACTTATGGGTGGCAGGGGACCAGTTTTGGGGGGCAAGGGGCAGGCTTCTTGACTCCATTACTGCCTCCCTTACTTCCTGTCCCCCTATTGCCTGTCCCTTTACTGCCTCTCCCACCATCTGCTACCCCTCCCCCACCACTGTTACCCCCTCCCACTGCTTACCCTGCTGCAGTAGGGGAGGAGATGAAGTTAAGAAAACAATTCAATAATTAGATTCTGTACATGGAAAATTATACCAAGTTATAACCAATTTATATATTTTCCATGGCTACAATCTAATTACTGGGAGAGAGTGTCTTAAGGTCAGAGTTGTCTTGTATTTGGGTAAATAAGGTGTATTGTATCTGCTTTTCACACCATATCTTGGATCACTCACTTCTTCCAGGAATCTGTTCTATATTTTATGCTTAATGTCCTTTGAACATGGATATTTACAGCCATGATTCTTTGCTATTTCATTCTGTTTTAGTTTATGGGACTCTTAGGATTCATATATTTATTATACATGTAATGTAAATTCTTCAAATCCAGATTTTCAGAAGGAGTCCAACTAAGTGCAGGTTTAGAGAGATTAACTGCTTGCTTTTTCTGCTGAAGGATGAGCAAACATCCTCCTACTCTCATCCTGGAAAAACTGAGAAAATATTAGTTGAAACTGAATTTTCCACCCTCTACCATGAGGGAGCAACCTGAAAATTAATAAGGGTTAGATTAGGGTCACCCAACTTCTGGACAGTGGGGAGCCATACACATCGCAAGTCACATGTGGTGCAGACCACAGATCTTTGACATTCCTCCTGCCACACAGGCAGCCCAGGTGCCATATGCACAGCCTTAGGTCTCTTGTCTTTTCCCTCCTGTGTGCAAGCAGCCTAGGGAAGCCCAACACTCCCCAGTTGTGTATACAGCATGGGCAGCTCACCTCAGCTCCCCTGTGCTGCTTGTGCTGCCTAAGTCTCCCCTCCTCATGTGCAGCCCAGGCAGCTAGGCTCTCACCCACCATGCACACAGCCTGGGCAGCCAGACCACACACCTGGCACACACAAAGCACAACCAGCCCAGACTAATTCACTCTTGAGTACAAGCAGCTTCTCTTGCAGTGCGCACCACCCAAATTTCCCCATTACATATGCAATATCCTCCTGTCACCTGGTCCTACCCCTCTCCCAGAAAGCAGGAGGAAGGAGGGGGTACCTGGTCACCTTAGCCACCTAAGCCATAGGAGTGGTGAGGGCAGCAGCTGGACAGGAGCCTGGGAACCTCATGTTCACCCCCTAAGAGCTGCATGTGGCCCACAGGTGGCCAATTAGAGGGCCCTAGGTTAGATTTTGGCTTTGTTTCAAGTTTTGTTTATGGGGAAGCATGCACCACATTTCTTCTTGCCATCAAGACCCAAGATCAAAATAACCCATGCAAAGGCATAACAGAGGAATCCAATTTCTGATGTCCCTGTACAAGTGAGTTGTCCAAGAAAAATTTCTTTGGAAACTTTCCACATTGTTTGTCATCATTTGTGAGTGTATTCAGTAGGGAGTCTAAAAATAAAACCTATAAAACCAGTTGTTCTTGTTAGTGATTTCTTTTACTCTGAATGATAATTACTCTTATTATACCATGTTTTGTAAATCTTACCTTGTGACTTAAACAGTATCTTAAACTGCATAACCATAAGAAAAATGTATCTCAAAATTAATCATTTTTTCATCTTCCAGGTGTGCAGTAATGAAGCCACTTGCATTTGTCATTTCACCTGGGCAGGGACAGACTGCAGTATTGATGATCCTGTTCGAGATAATGGCAGCAAGAAGGATGATGGACCCAAGGGTTTGTGTGATTTCAGTTCACTATTTTGCACATGTTTAGAGTATCCATCCTTACTAGCATGAGCAGAATGTTGGCAAGGTGAGGTATGACACTATCTCTTTCAGAGTCAAATAGGAAAACTTTGTCTCCCATGAAAGGTATATGCATGTTGATTTTGAAGATTAGGAATATAGCTTAACTCTTCTAATCTCAAAGCCCATTTTTGTAGAGAGACCAATATAGAAATCCCTGCATATCCTGATTTTCTTCTTATTTTCTGTCCTTTTAATAAAACACAATCTTCATGAACTAAAAACTACATTTACTAGGTTTTGAGTAATTATTCCTATATTGTAAATTCATTATTTAATCTTTTTAGTGAAGATTTTTCCAGTTGCTGGTTTCTTTTGACTTTCTGTTCTTGAGAGCTGTGATACAGAAAAGGGAGAAATGGAATTTCCTTTGTACAAAAGTCTCATTTACAGTTATCTCAACTGTGGAGTGGGGGGGTCAGGTCCTTATCAATCTGGAAGAATGTTTACAAAGATTGGTTTGTATGCTTCAGCTTTCAGATGGAAGGAATATAAACAAAGACAAATATTAAGAACTTTATTATTAGTAATCTTCCTCCTCCACTTAAAAATCTCCTAGACGTCTTATTGACTATATAAGTAGAAAGACTGTGAAGAGCTATTAGGGAAATTTTTTGAGAAATATTTTTACGTGGAATGGCATGTACATGAAATTGTGACTTCCAGCCTCCTCCAGAAACCACTTTACATGGTACATGTGGGTTTGGATGCTGGTATTCAAGGTTTATCAATTTTCTGGGTCACCAAGACACACTGTCCAATGGCAGCCTGGTTATCCAAACCTGTACATGACTGAGGGCCTACATACGTAACATATTTACAGCAGTGTAACCTGCCTTTACACTGGTATAAACAAGGAGTGGACACATATTATTAGTTTGGTGTAACTTATTAGAATCTGCTGTAGAGCTACTCCAGGAAATATCAGGGATAAAACAAACTGGTATAACTAACACCAGTAGATGTGTTCTGCATCTGCTTCTATCCTTGAGTGGCCATTTGCTCAATTTGAACAGGCTATTATTGGCTCCTCCTCCTAAATCTGCAAAATTCCCAAGAAGTCAGGGAAGGACAAGACCTTTAGCCTGGAGATTTTGTGCCTCCATGTTAGCACTTTGTTCCTAGCATACTCTTCAGCCCCCAACCCTCAATTCCTAGCAAAGTCATTCTAGTAGAGCTGCATTATCAAGAGCTCTAAGTACAGCTTTCCCATAGAGCCTCCCAAACTGGGCATCTATCATGAAGGAAGCTCTATGAAAGATACTGCATTTTTCTCAAGGAATCTTCAGAGATGCATCATCCTGACTGCACCAGTATCCAACATAGGGCTTCCTTGTTTCTACAGGAGCTAACACAATTCCTAGCCCTTTCTCCTCTCATAGATCCTTACTAATTCTAGAAAAACATCTATAGTCTTAGTTGAAGGGGCACAGTACTATGGAGTTGTATGTCTCCCTTTCTGTGTGGCTGGGGTAGATCATTTAAGAGCACTTGCATACTTGTCTTCTTGAGGGTTCTTTAAATAAAAAAGATTTGTTTGTTTAATTTATAAACAAAAACAAAATAGACAAGCAGAAAAGTTAATCTCTTTATCTAAATTAAATTCCTATAGTTTAAACTTCATTCTGTGCTTGCAGAACTGAAACAATTTTGAAAATGAATGTAAAAAATCTGACATATTCTAAGAGAGTGTCTTGGTTTAATAGGTGTACCCCCCACCCCATATTTACTTATTAATATGATTTTTACCAGCAGATACAGACATATAGATTATTGTGACATAATATAGTGCCTCTTGACAAAGAAAGTTTAAATATTTACTGTTTAAATATTTACTGTTTGTTTTAATTTATTTTCTTATGAGAATGAGCCGTATGAAGAATTGACCATTCCTCTTTTTTAATTTGTGGTAATGTTAATTTATTGGAATTGAATTTCCAAGAGATTCATAATAAGGAATTGAACACTGACTGCTTTCAGTTACTTTTTTGGTGTGCTAATAGAGAAATTCTTTTTGGAAAACGACATCAGGAAGCATACAAAAATAAATCATTTTCTGAAATGATATAAAATACTTGAGTACTTTCCATTAAGATTGTTTTGTTTCTTTTTATTACTGACATTTCCTATTTCACATGTTACCATATAGTGAACAGGCATGAGCTAAAATGCTTTCTATACTTCATAGCACAGAATTTGAGTTGCATTACATTGCAAAAACAGAAAACTCAATTTCCTCAAGATTAAGATAACACAGATTCAATTGTGAGAACAGTTTAGCTAGATTAACTCCAGTGTCACAAAATGTCATTTAGTATGACCATAGTTGTAAAGCGCATACTAGGATTATTGTACTGACTCACAAAATCAATGCACTGACAAATACATGAAATACAAGCTTTTACAGATTGAATAGACACCAGTAGAATCCATGTCAAACCTTCAATTTTTACTATTTTTGGTTGCACATACCACGCTTTTATACATGTCAGTGTTCAAGAGGTTAAATCTCAAAGTGGGATGTGGTTATCTCTTCTTCCTCTAATGCAGCTACCTCCAGAATGTAAAGAATACTGGAAAAACAGCTTCTAAGTATCACATACAGGATATGTGTTAACATTCTACAGTGTTAGAAATTACTATAATTATTTTTTAGATCGTCGTTGTAATTTGCATTTACTCCAACTCTTAGATTTGTTGCTTGCTTTGAATTCTGACATTTCATATATGTGGGGGGATTGGGATTTCTAATCTTAACTCTAATGCCTGTGCAAGAAAGCTTGCCATGGCTTAAAAATTCTTCTACACCTACAGAACCCTAAAAACCATTTTAACAGTTCATTCCCACCCACTTGGTGTATACTATTCATGGACAAAACGTCTATCTGCTTGTGGGTATATAATTATGATAATATTGAGGGATGTATATGCATAATATTTTGTCTGTTAAAGTGAGAATATTGCCATTTGAATAGTTGCAGTTACAGATAAGAGGAATATATATAGTTGAACTTGAAATGTCACGCTGGTTACACTTCTAGGAACTTTGTCAAATTAAGAAATTGCACAATGGTCACTTTCTTTGAGGAGCTTAATGTTTTGGAGAATAGGTTAAATTCTTATTTTACTTGCCTACCATTGTATCCACTGCTGAAACCTAATCTTAAATAGCATGAGAGAAGTTAATTACTTAGGGGTGGCTAACAATAGTTTATCAGAGATGTGAAAATTCATATAATTGATTAACAGTTTTCACACCATAAATCCCTGCATTTTTCTTATTATGATTGGTACTATGTATAGCTAACATATATTGCTTGCTTTGTTTATTCTGTTATGATAATTGATGATTGATTGCTGCTCCTGTTGCCCTTTTGTTTTTCTTTTCAGACCTTTCCATCATACATCAGTTGCTTTTGCCTCTTTACTGTATTTCAGAAAATTAGTAAAATTTGCCTCTACTGTATTTCAGAAAATTAGTGGTTTTTATTTATTTTTAAATTAATTCATAGGAAGTTATGAGCTAGTCTAAACTCAGAAACCTACTGTATCCTACACAAACTGAGTCTAAAGCATTGCAGGACAACAATAATATTTGGAAGTGAAAGAAATTCTCCTATTATTATTCTTATTATTTGGCTGCTGAAACTTGGAGCTGCTTGCAGTATTGGCTTTGAACTTGAAGTCAGTGGAGCTCCATGAACATAAAGGAATCTTTCTGTGCACTTTTAGTATCAGGCTTTGGCCCTGGCTTGATGTAAATGTGTATTATATTTGATGCTTGTGTCTGTAAAATAGACAAAGGTTAAGGATTTTTTAAACAAAACTTTTTTTCAAATGGAGCCTGAAGATGTGGACAGGCATAAGAGCTATACTAGCATTGAATGCTACAGGTATAGGCTGTTACAGTGTAACTACTGAGATTAGGTTTATTTCCCCATGTAACATTAGGAGAGTAGGAGTCCTTGTCTTGGATTCAAGTACCAGAGCCAGGGTTGGAGCTGCTGCTGTCTTAGTTTTGGGTAAATACAGTACTGTGTCTGCACACTCCCATAACAGGTTTAAAGTCACAGTGATTTAGCTCACTTAAACTGCTATAAGAGCGTGCAAGCATTATAATTACATTGTAACAATAGATGCAAGACAACTCTTCCTCTCCTCCTAAAGCAGGTGAAAATTGCCTCCGTCCACAGTCTGTATCACTTGTAAAACATCTTCATCATTGAAACTAGAAAAATAAATACACATTAAATTCAGAGATATTTATGCTTTTCTGATGTGAGATATAGCCAGTTATGGTCTTTTACTATCATCCAACTAATTCAACATATTTTAAATCTTAGCATATAGGAAGAATACTGGTATTTTTTATTGGAGGAGAATTTCCTTCTGTCTGAAAAATAAATATGTAATAAGAAATAACATCAGCAAATAGAAAATACTGAAAGCCAAAGTCCTTGCCTAAAAAGGATATTTTGTGAATGTTTTCTCCAAAAGCTGCCATGTTATATAATTTAAAATACAGAAAATAAAAGAAATGAGTTAGAAATAAATTATTAGTTCAGTAATACAAATACTCATATCCATGTATAGTAGATTGGGCTGAAAAATGTTTTCCCACAGTGAAACATTAAAAAAAATAGTTTCCACATGAACTTGATTTAAAAGCCTCATTTCAGTTTAGTTTTAAGAAAACACTATTTTTAAAATCTGCACCTTCTCCCTCCCCTTCAATTTTCTCCTCTTTGTCACTGCATGTAAACAAAGGAATTGACATCCACGGGATCCCTACCTCACAGAGAGGCAAGATTAACGCGTTGAAGATTGAAAGGTGCTCTGATACTAAAGCAATAAGGCCAATAGTCAGTGAGAAGAGGAGAGAACTTTGACTAGCTTTGGATCACCATAAAGGAGTAGGAGCTCTCTAATAGAGTTTATTAAAGGCTTCTTACTGTGCAAAAGAGAAAGCAGGTCCAGCAAACTCCCCTTATATCTTATGTGTCTTACAGCTACCCAAAAGAATCCTTATTAAACTTTTTATAGCAGATCCATTGTGCCTCAGTTGTGTAAATGTTCTTTGGAGTAAAATTTGGCAATCAAGTTCTTAGGCTTGGAGCTAATGTTCATTACACAAACATATTCTGAGCAGTATGTTTTTATGTTCTAAAAGCCAAAAAAAAGAAGTTAGCTTGTTTTAAAAGGATATTTTCATGAATAACTTAAAAACATCTCTTTCTGTCAAAAATGTATCCAGGTAAACCTTTAGTTAATAGCAAACAAGACTGCTTACAGCTTAAGATGGTGTTCAGCATGAGAAATTGCTAAAGAGTCAGACAAGTGTGTTCAACCAATGTATTTTAAATTAATTAGGTTTTTAGTTTGGCTATCAATACTATTCTCATCAACAGGGAACATTATATCCATTTCAGAATTTTCTCTTACACATAGCCCTTTACTTTTTGCCTAAAAAGATGACAGTAGTTTGAACCTAATTATGCTAAAATACTACATAACACTACATTTAAATTGCTATGGAAAAACTTAATGTTGTGTAAGTCCTCTATAGGCACAATTTCCCACTGCCTTGTTCTCTGGGAAATAATCATTTATACTTGTGTAATATAGTTGTAAAGCAGTGCCATCTTGATTTAGTAATGTTTTACACTCAATTTGATGTCACTTTGCACAAGGTTTAAATGAGTACACAAAGGTCAAGGTATTGGAGAATCAGGTCTTTTCTGTCCACATTGCTGAAATTGATATATAGTGAAAATAAATGACACCTTATTTAGAGCCCCTAATAGTGTTTAAAAGCAATGAACCAGAATCACAGGAGATGAACTTTTCTTAGAGGGATGATTAGCAATTATTTGCTCAATTTAGGTGACTGGCAAAAGTCCCACTGACTTCAAAGGAAGCCTGAGCAGGCCCATACTACATAATTCCGAATTCTGTGGTATATTTCTCTTTCAGAACCCAAAAGTTGGTTCTTGTCACACTGGTGTCTGGAACATGTTTTCTCTATATCCTGTTTTCTTAACTGCATTTTACTTATGTAGGGTGCAGTGGTTCATTGTTCACAAGTGTTTGGAATCACCTCAGTGTTTCTAAACAACTTTATAAAATGTAATATTTTAATCATGATTATTTTGATTCACTTAGTTTAATAACCTGGATACAGTATGTTTCTGGTGGTGGAAGAAAGTTCTCTTGCTGGTTGTTTGTTCATGTTTTATCTTTTATATTTTAATCAACTGTAGGTTGAAAATATTATATTTTAAACAAAGATATGCTATAATCTCAGGTTAAGATCCATTATTAAGTTTAAAGTTTACACTAAAAATTCGTATTAAAATGTTTGTTAGCTTTCTAGTCAAGCCAGAATAGTTTAAATTATTTCCATATTTTTTTAAAGCTACAATATTTGTGCATAGAAAGGTTTATTAGGTTTGAACTGTGTGACAAAAATGGATTACAAAGTAAAATATCCCTTTGAGGAGCTATTTTATTTTTGTTTCAAACATATACTGTATGTGATCATTTCCTTAAAAAATCTTCCCTTTTCCCTCCACACAGTGAGCATGGCCACTAACAGGCTAATAGGTGCAGTGGCAGGGACCATTCTGGCTCTGGGGGTGATTTTTGGAGGCACAGGGTGGGGAATAGAGTAAGCATTCTTCTTAGTTTGAGTTTTATGTTTGGTGCCTAGTGTGTGAGGTAACTGTACGCACCTGAGCCCTCTGTGTACTATCCCATTAGCTTTGTGTCATGTGGTGACCGTATTCGTTATGTGATTTGAACGTGTCCGTGTCATGTGATTTGCTCATGCGGTGTTGAACCCTCTCCTGTCTGGGACAATGTGGGGCATAAAACAATAACTTTGTGAATTTTTACATCATCACAATTAATACAATTAAATGTCTAAATGTCTCCATTGCTCCAAATTATTACAAAAATAAAAGGAAAATAGTAATTTAAAGATGATGACAATCTGTTTTGCAAAACGTAATGTAATAGAGCAACAAGGACCATTTGATATAATTTATGTATTGGTTATTCCAATCAATGGGGCTTTCATTTTAACAATGGGTCATAAAATCCAAGAAAGAGAATAAAACTTGATTGTATATGTAGGCAGCTTTCCAGCAAAGCTTCTTAATGTTCTGTTGCTAGGGTTTTCACTTACCCCGGGGAGCAGAGTATGACATATATTTTTAAATCATTGGAAAACTGAAATCTGAAGTGTAGGCACACTATATAGTTCCCAGTTTTAGCCACGCTTGGATTCACACTACATATATATGTATATAATGGTGATAATTCTGGCATCAGCTCCTTAATTCTAAGTACTTAGATTACACTGCAAACCATGGAATGAACTGCCGTTATTCTGCTTGTTTGACTTTTTCATCTTCATTCTGTCCACTAATTTAACTCCATAGAGTTCTAAAATTTCAGTCCCATGATAGTGGTTTCTCTGTGGAAAAAATAGCATGTGATCTCATAACTGAGACTATCATCAAGCATATGTACAAGGGAGCCTAATTAAGGTTGCACAAGGAACCGTAGTTCTGGTAACTCTTAACTTTTGAGTGCTTGACTCTCCAACATTAACATTTTTAATGTAGTTTTTAGCTATTGTGTTACTATTTTTTTTCCTAAAGCATACTGTATCATGTGAATTAGTTGGTTTCTTAGCAGTGGAAAACTTTTGTATTCACAATGGAGCCCACTATCACTTGAGTCAGTACAGTAACTGATAGCAATAGAAGGCTGTTATCTTCAATCCACCCAACCACTAAAGATGGTTTCCAATTTTGCCAGTTTGAGTTCACAGCTATTCACTAACAGAAGAAGACTGCAGGGACTCCAGGAGTCTGTTCCAGATGCAGAAGGAGTGTGTGCTCTAGTAGACACAGACCATTCTGCCCGTTCTTAGACCCCAGTACCTAGTCTACACTGGGCACATCTACACGAGACACTATAGCAACAAGCTATTGTGCCATAGCATCCCAGGCATGAACCATGACAGTGACGCTCATGCGCAGTAGTAACAAGCTACTGTGCAGTAGCTCATTGCTACTGCACAGTAGTGTCAAAAAATAACCATGTGGTGCCAGGACTACACAGTAATGCCCATTACTGCGCAGTCATTTAATACTTGGTTAACCAAGTACTAAATGATGTGAAGTAACAACTGTACAGTTGGCTGCTCGTGTAAACGCAACAACTGTACCATGATTCCTGTCCCATTTCTGCTCTGTTCCTATCCAACTTTCCCATTCCCTCTGCGCCTAGTCCTTCCCCTGCTAAACCTTGCTTTCCGTCTCCTTTCTCCTGTGCTACACAATCCATCACCACACATCTTGGCTTCTGCCGCCTTTTCCTCTTGGCTTTTATCAAACCCTTTTAGTTCCAGTCCTGTCCTGCTCTTATCCACCCTTCTTTCCCTTGCTCTCTATCCTTCCCCATTTCTCCCAATCCTGTGACTATTACAAGCCTCTCAGTTGGGGCACGCTCAATATACACAGAATTGTCTCTTGAACTTGTTCAGATTTGAATGAATTTTCATAGGGATGGCAAAAGGCACAAATCTAATACCAAGGTGATAGCCCTCCAAGATTTGGCGTCTCCCTCCAAAGTTACTACAGTTTCTCAATTAAATAATTGCAAAATTTTTAATCATGGGCACAACAATTTCCTTTTTTTCTAATCTTATTTTTGGAAATGGCTGAACCACTTGAGCTGAAGATTCTCCTAAAATGTCAGCCTGAAACAGATATGTGACATTGAAAATTTCAGACTGAATATTTAAGTTTGGTAAAATAAAAACAGGGTTGTATAATAGAAAGGGTTATGCAGTTTTAATTTGGGCCTTGCTGTTAAGGTTGCCTTAGATAAACTGATTTCATAATTATTTTTTTATATATATTTTCAAAATGGAACTTATTATTTGGAGATCTGTCTGTCTACTTGGGTAAATAACAGATTAATATTTATCTTTATTAACACAGGTGTCACAACATGTGTCTCTGTGCACTGAAGACTGAAATGCAGTCTTGGCCCTGCTGAAGTCAGTAGTTAAACTCCTTTGGCTTTAGCACGGTTCAGATTTCATTCTGAATGTAAACCCATAGACATTTCCAGTTTCTGTACTGATACATTTTGCAAAAAGAGGAATTTCTCATCATGAATAGGAATTGTCACTCCCAGTCCATTGATCGGTAGCATTTATCTTGTTTTCAGGGAAATGGGTAGTTTTATCCAACCATTTTTAAGGACACCCTCTAGCTGTCTAATGTGTTATTATACCATTTTCAAGCTGCTGTTACAGGTGCTTGTTTTATAAGTTATTTTCTGGTCAAGAAGAAGTAATGTCACTTCTCTAGTTATAGTAATACTTACAATCAGGGCAGAACCCAGAAAGGGGTTTTATCAGGAATGTACTGGTATTCACAACAGTTGCAGTAACTTTAAGGTTTTTTCCATGTTATCTAAACCTAATTTTTTCATATAATTTTGTAATTGTATTTAAATCCGAACTGAATGTTTCTTAGAGGAGACATTTTTATAGTAACAATATTGTCACTGGAAAATATACGTGAAATAAGTTTTATTAAACACATAGTAATCTCATGGAAAATACATTTTCTGTACTACTAGACATCTTACAGGCATCCAAAAATGGCCATTTCTGAACTTCCTTTTCTAAATTACTATCAGTTAAATATACTAGCTGCAATATTTCTGTAGAACAATGACGTATGGTTAGGGAGAAAAATCAGTTGTATGGATTTTTCAAAGCCTCCAAAACTCTGTGTGAACACAAATTATTTACTATGTTTTTAAAACTTATAAAAATAGTATGCCTTCTTTCGTTTTTCCATTGCTGGGGAAAAATGACATGAATCATGCTTCCGAGTCAGGTAGATGTAGTAGATAAAATCATAAGGCTGCTAGTTCTTAAGGAAAAAGTTACATCTGGAAACAGAATGCCCATATGGCAGCATTGTCCTCCTACATGATCAGTGTTGTTGACTCATAGCCAAGTCTCACTGTGAAGGTAAGTCCAGTAAGATATGTTTTTCTAATAGTAGAAAATTTACCATGTATTGTTGTTTATATTTGTGTACAGCTCATACATGTTAAGATTGCTACATTATTTTTAAAGTTCAGTTTCTAATTAATATTCCTAAATACTTTGTATTGTATTGGCAGGAAATATTATAAAATGGGATTATCTAAATTCATTTTAGATTGCTTTGAAATTATTTATTCAGGGCATGTTTTGCTGTGCTTACCTGTGGTGAGTAAATATCTTGCTTCATTGAAGTAAAGTGGACTGTTCTGAGTCCAAGACACTACTCAGTGTAAGTGGCGCAAAATCTTGGCCATTATTTTTAAGGTTGACAGGAATTTTTTTTTGTTATAAGCTCTATATAGTATCTCAGAATGATAAGTCATTAATGATCTACAGCAGGGTATGTATACTGTATAATCCCTAAAATGTGCGCTGACATGAATTAGTAACTCATATGCTATATATAGAACAATTCATTCTTTGTACTGTATGTTGCAAATAAAAGTCGAAAGCTTGGTTTTATTCAGTCTGACCAGATGTCTAAAATCAACCCCACAAAAAACATGTAACGTATGTAATGTACTGTACAAATACAGGTCACTGGAATCATTTTTCAGATCTAGGATGTACTTTCACACTGATGTTTCTGGAGCTAGGGAGAAGGTATCTGTGATGCTGAAGTAGTCCCTTAATTCTTTCAGCTATGTTAGTTGCCTGTACTCCTTTCCTTCTCCCGTATTTTAGATAATCCTTTTTTCTACCTTGCGTATCGCTCTGACAGTATTCCAAACACCTTCAAACACCAGAAAGAGAGATATTTTATTTAAAATAACCAAATCAGCATTACAGTAGCTGAATACTTTCTTGGAACACGCTATTAAAAGTAATTTTAGAAAGGCTCTTCATGGGCATTCAAATGTTTCTGCACGATTATAGGATACGTGATGTGAAAAAAACATTGTTGTGTTAGATTCCATCTTCCCTTGGACTTAGCTTTACATCAGTGTGTGTCCGGTAATGGAGAACTTCATGGTGAGCAATTAATTTGGTCGCACACGTCAAACCTATTTTGTATTTTCCTTCCCTCCCGCTCCCCATGCAAATAGAGCACTTAAATAAGATATTCTTAATTGATCTTCAAGTGTTGTCTTGCCCTTTTCAGAAAATTACACAAATGTATTTTGTCACCTCTTTCTTGTCTTTTTTCCTGCCCCACTTTGTTGTTCAGTGGCTGCTTGAGGATGATGAAGAGATGCTTTGATGTTTGGAATGCTTCAGTGGGAATGCAGCCTTTATTTCAACTTCAGATCTTTACTATTTTTTAATTTAAAGTTTACTTCCTTCCCATTTCTGCCAGTTTATAGTCAGTAAACTTAAACCATACAGTTATTTCAAACCTATAGACCTGATGTTGCAAAATACTGTGTAAGATAAGAGGTGCTGAATATATTCAGCTCTGATTGAAGTAAAAGGGGTATGAGGGTATCTAGTAATTTGTAGGATTAAGATTTATTAGCAAACAGAATTGATGGGTTTTGATTTGTTTTCATTTGCCATAGGAATGAATTATGTAGGCATTTATTACT